TTGGAAAAATAATCCCTAAAATTCCACGTTTATTGGCTGATAGTCCTTGAAAAAATATTCTATACAAATCCACTTTTATTAGTCTGAAAGTCCTTGGAAAAAAAAATTATCTGAAAATCCACGTTTATTGGTCTAATAGTCCTTGGAAAAATATTCTTTCAAAATCCACGTCTAGTGGTCTGAGAGTCCTTTGAAAAAATATTATTTATCGGTTTGATGGTCCTTGGAAAAATATTCTTTAAAAATCCAGGTTTAGTGGTCTGATAGTTCTTAGAAAAATTATTCTTTGAAATCCAGGTTTATTGAAGTGATAGTTCTTCGAAAAACCATCTTTAAAAATCCACGTCTAGTGGAAAATATTCTTTAAAGAAAATCACATTTATTGGACTGTTTGTCCTTGGGAAAATGCTCTCTAAAACTCCACGACTTCAGCTGGTGTAGGGTATAACAGGGTCGGCCGTGACCGACTTTTATTTTTTTTATAACATTTTTTTTTTTTTTTCATTTAATTTTTATTTTTAATTTCCCATAAAAATAATTCATAAATATTGTTTGTAAATTATTCTCATTGTACTATGACTGATTTGTGTGTACTCCTATTTAATTTAATATTATCATATAATCATCATAACTAAATACCCGTATGTCAAAATTGAAATTTAAAAAAAAAAGAAATGAAACAAAAAATTGTTGTTAATTCAAAACGAAAATTTAATTGAATTGAATGAAAACCACAAATGGAATTGTAAATTAAATTTTTATTTATTTTATTTTTGTTAACACCAAAACGAAAAAAAACAACTCCCCATTCATTTACTATTGTTTTGTATGTAAATTATTTTTAAATTAACCAAACAAACAATCAACCAACACCACAGAATGTTCCCAACCTCAAAAGCAAAAAAATAAAAATCCTCCCAACAACCTAACCACCATTACCAATGAATGTGTCATCCATCCATCCGTCCAGCCATCCATTGTAACCTCGCTCTGTCATATTTTTATCCACACACACATATATATCTCACATCAATGACACATACCACCATACCATCCAACCATTAATCTCATCCCGCACCTGATGCCCACAAACATGTTGTCATAGTTGTTGTTTTTTATATTTATTTTTACTTATATACATATGTAATTTTTTGTATAATATCCTGTTTGCAAAGTGTGGTTGAAATCAAAGCGATAAAAATTAAAAGGTTTTTTTCCGTCATAGTTATATCATACATTATTTTTTAGCTGGAATACGGTTATAGCTGTCATTAGTTGCATATATCCATTAGATTATCAATCATTCTTACGATTCATTCATGGGATAGCTAAGATTGTGATATCTAACCTTAAATTCATAATTATTGTCCCCATCGCTGCCAAGTAGTAGTTATAGCATATCCACGTTAGATAGCCAAAAATCATTTAAAATATTTAAAAAATTCTAAATTAGAAATTTAATAGTCCTTCAAAGTTTAATCCTAAAAATCCAAACCAATTCACGTTTCACGATAGAATTTTAGATGGTATTTAAAAAAACGAATAACTTACAATTCTAACTCCGATAGTCCCTTAAACATTCACGATTATAGCTCGAAAAATCCAGGAAAAATATTTATAAAAAATCCACGTTGACACTTACGATAGGTCTTGAAAATATAATCTTGAATAATCTCTTAGTGTAGCTTAAAAATTTCTGGAAAATTATGCTTTAATATTAAGAGCTTAGATATTCGTTCAGAAGATATTCTTTAAAACTATAATTTTAGCTCTCGCAGCCCTTCAGATAGTTCTCCATAAATATTTGTAGAAAAAAAATAGTATTGGAGCTCTGATGGTAAAATAATTCAGGATCACAGTTAGAAATGCTGTTCAAAATCCATGATTACAGCTCTTATTGATCGTCAAACATATTCTCAAAAAAAAAAAATAAAAAAAAAAAATAAAAAAAAAATAATAATAATAATAAATAAATAAATAAAAAAAAAAATCATGACTCTCGACCTTATTGCTTCAAAAATATCGTCAAAACTCCATGATTATTATTTAAAACTCCACGATATTAGCTCTCGCAGTTCTTCAGATAGTTCTCTAAAAATATTCGTAGAAAAAAAATTGGAGCTCTGATGGTCCATCAATAACTGGTTTCTAATTGTCCTTCTATAAATCCCTGAGTTTAGCTCTCTTATTTCTACAAATATACGCTCAAAATAATCCATAATAAATGTAGGAAATACTGTTCAAAATCCATGATTACAGCTCTGATTGAAAAAAATAATAATAATAATAACTTTCGACCTTATTGCTTGAAAAAGTCTACTACAATGGGTTCTCTAAAATATTCTTATAAAATCGATTTTAGTTCGGATAGTCCGTCAAAATTATTATTATCAATTCGAGATAATTGGTTAACCAAAGCTAAGCCCTCAGAAAATCTAAAACTACAGCACTACAGTCCTTCCAAAATATTTGCAACAATTGTCTTCTGAAAGCCCATAAAAAAATATATTTTAATATATTTATATAAGTCCACCATAATTTTCTAAAATTTGTCACTTGCCCTTCAAAAAATGTTCTCAAAATCGAAGACTAGAGGTCTCCATAGTTCTTCAAATACATTTTTAAAACTTCATCACAATTTTCACAAATTGATGGTCATGGCAAAGATTTTATCTTTGATAGTCCTTTAAAAATATTCTTAAAAATCCACGATCATTCAGATTTCTTTACTTTTTAATTTCTCAGAGAATCAATTTTTTACTTGAGTGCCATCTAGTTCTCACTTTCCGTAACTACGGAATACTGTGCCAACGACAAATTAAGGTGTAGAATACAAAATACTCTCATGTTTATCTTTGAAAACAGTCAAAACATCTGTTAGTAAAAGTAAATAAAACAATTGTTGTCTGTATCTTTGCAATTTTAAATCTGAAGTATAGATGGCTTTAGATTTATGCCTTCCACCTCCATTGAACATTTTTGGAGTCAAGATTTGGAGATCAGATTACTGAAACTGGGATATATTTGACTATTTCTTTTGATCTTTCAAAGTGGCATTATATTTTTACTTTTAAAAAGCAATTGTAAAATTTAAGAACAGATGGCGTTCTTTATATTGAACACAAAAAAAAAAAAAAAACAACTTTAAATCTTTGACCTTTGAGAACCTAAGTCAGTTCTAAGGAAATATGGGTACATTGAATGTAAGTTTAACTAAACCTAAACGGGGATGCATTAGACTGGCTCTTTCGATTTTGGATTGTAGAAGTGGCATTATATTTTAGCATATAACGTTCAATCCTCATATTCATGTACAGATGGCGCTCGTTATTTTAAGGATAAATTCTTAAAAAGGCTTGAATCGTAGCTCTCTGACAACTTCAGTCAAGGCTGCGAAAATCTTTTCACATTAAATTCCAAATATTAAAACGGATCTGTTTTTTATCTTCCTACAGTAGAAGTCGTATTATATACCATTTAACGACTAATACTCAAACCTAAGAACAGATGGCGTTCCTTATACTAATTACAATTTCTTTCAAAATAACCTCAGCCTTTGTATTTTTATGTCTGATTCAGGAAAGTTAACATCAGTGTGCTTTGCAGTCATCAAAACGTTTCAAAATAAAATATATAAAAAAAAGTAAAATAGAGATTTTACCATATCAGAGTGGTGAGGTTAGTTATATCAAAGCTTTGAGCACTTTTTCTAAGGAATGTATAGTTGTTGATTCCAAAACCCGTTCTACTCTATGCTATTGGCAAATGAAGGTATGAAAAGAGAAGTATTTTATTTTCAAATGAATAGTTCAATAATGTTTCTGTTGTTCCGATCGTCATATAGGTTATAGATTATAGTCTATCTCTGTGAAATCTGTTTCATATTATATTGTAGGGCTTGTCGAGGACTCATGGGAAAAGTACGAAATTTATATTTTTAATTTTCATAAATCTATCATACTCCTGCCTTGGGCCATTATTGACTATACGATTCATAAAAATCCCAGCACCCAGATCGGAAAAAGTGGCACGTGTGCATTTGAAGAGAGTACACACACTCTCTCAAAATTTAACATTCTGACAGTGAATCTCGTCTGAACAGTTAGTGAGAAGAGTGGGGCCATCGCTCTCTTTTATAATCTTAAATTTTAGTATTGTATCAAAACCATAGCCTAACAAAGAGAATATTGAAGAGAAAATTTCTACTGCTTTCTCAGAGAGAAATTGACTCCTGAGCGGGATCTTACTCTTGGGAAGTATCGATTGAATTAAAGTTTCTGAAGTTTATTAATGGGGAGAGAGAGAGCTATTCTCATAGAGTGTGTGCAAGCAAGATACTCAACCAAACCAGTTGCAGTACCAAATAATATTTAATTTCCCAAAATTTGGAATCGAAAATATTAGCCATCTTTATCCTTCCGAATATTGTAAAAAGTCATCACAAGGACAATTCCCACGATCACACATTTTTTTGAGCTCTTAGAAATTTTTATTACGACTGAAGAGCAAATCGCGCGGTGTAGTTCTGTAAAAAAATATGAATTATCCATAGCTTTTTTAGAACTTTTGGTTTGCAAAAAAAAAAAAAAAAAAACGCCGAAAATTGTTTTAAGAGCCCATTTGCTTGCCTGTCTTTTCATATTTTTTAGGGATTGAAATATTTGAAAACTCATCAGTTTGTCATTCTCATTTATTGCAAAAATCTTTTAGATATTAGTCATGTTGTCTTGTTGTTACCTCATCGTTCATCATTGTTTTTTGTCAACACACTTTGCAAAAGGATATGTCTAGACTTAAGTAACAAAATAAAACTTATTATTACTTAAAAAAAAAAAAACATTAAATGGATCTTAAAAAACTTGCTCATTTAATGTTTAATGTTTTCCTACTTTCAATGCAATGCCAAAAACCAAATTTACCTTTGGAATGGATTTTCGTCCCTGGATATTCTTCGCTACCCTACCTATGGTTGCTGCTGGAATACATCCCAATTACTACAGTCGATTTCATGAATGGAGATGCCAAAAGCCCCCAGCACACGGTCGTCCATCCAATGTACGTGAGCTATACCAGTATACCAACCTCAGCAAGTGCAACAATGCTCTCAAACAAGCATCATCACCACCACCAACACTCGCTCCACCATTCGCTCAGTAACAGTAACCATCATCTCAGTAACAGTTCTCATGCATTGGCAACAACAGCAACTACTACTCCTACTACTACCATAAATAATACCAATACAGCCACACCAAGCGCTGCAAAAAAACAATTTCGATCATCAATTTCTTCCAATTCTCAGCATCATCATCATCAGCAACTCTCATCCCTGCATAGACAATTTAGTAATAGTAGCCAAACGAATGCCGTCGCTGCGGCTGCTGCTGCTGCCGCTCATGGCCCGAATGCAACTAGCAACAACAATCTTTTATTACTTACTAACAATTTTAGCAACAACAACAACAGCAACAGCAAGAACAATAGCCATAGTAACAGTAACCGCCATAATGCCACAGCAACAGCAACAACAAACAGCAACACATTCTTAATACACACACACAAAAGTAATCGGAGCAATCCGAACACCAGTCAATACAATCTGAACAATAAGGGTCTAATAATGGGCGGAGGAGGGGGAGGACCAGGCTCCGGTCCAACCATGGATGGCCATCTTGGCAGCTATAATGGTAGCCTGCTCAGTAACAGTAGTCAATATCAACAATTTAACAATGGACCGATCATGGGTTCAGGTCGACGCAGCCGTCAGCCCCTGGACCTGTCGCCCATGTCCACTAGTTACAACACCCGTAGTTATTCCACTAACAATAGTAATGCCAGTAACAGTATGCTTTATAGTCCTAAACAGGCTCGCAAAATGAGTCCCCTAACCTCGAATAGTATTTTCCCGGCCAACACGGCCACGGCCATTGATTTGGTGCAGAAGCAAACGGGCGGGGGAGGGGTAAGTTATTATGATGACAGTACCGCCAAGGCGGATCATCAATTTTATGTGAATGGGGGTGGTGGGTCGAGACGTCATATGTTAATTGGCGGAGCATCGGTTTCCACGCCCACTCAGGATACCACACCCTCGCTGTCGTATGCCTCGTTACAGAATTCCAATCAAAATTTGAACTCCAGTTTGAAACATCATGGCGGTGGGGGAGGAGGTCTTGGCTCTGGCATGAACACCTCCTTGAGTAACAGTAATTACAGTCTAACCAACAGCCTGAACAACAACCATCCACCCTCGCCCGCCCCCTCTGCCTTGGGTGGGGGCTCGAACAGTGGCCGTTTTGCTCGCATACATTCCAAACCGAAACCGCCCAAGTCCTCTAGCTATTCCAACTTTGGCAATGCCACCAATCTAATGACACCCAATGGCAACTCTTCTTCGTCGGCAGCTCAACCCCAGACGGCAGTTGCCCGCAACCAGGCCTATACAGAACGTCCCTTGTCCTCGAGTAATTTCGATGAGACCTTTGAGGATGATAATTTCTCCATGCAAAATCTCAAGCCGGACGATGACATAACCTATGTGCCGTTTGGAAAACCCACTCCGGGTTCATATTTTGTTAACAAGGAAAACAACAACTTAACTTCCTATCCGGCTGGTGACAATTCGGGATCCAGTCCCAATAACAATAATCCACAATTTTTGAATGGCTCATCGCCGCCCATGGCCTTGGAGGGTGGTGGTATTCTTCTCGAAAAGGGTGCCATTTTACATCCCCATCCTGACATGAATCCGGCTCAGCGGGTTATATATCAACAAAATGGTTTGCCATTCCATCCGGCCTACTCTCCGGTACCATATAGGCAGAATTCGGCCTGCTCTCAGCAGCAGCCGCAGCCGGGTCCACCCAGACCCACAAATATCCCCCTGCCTATTGTGCCGGCCTCGTATAATCACCACTGTACAGATATGATTTCGCCCTCCGAGGTGACACCACCTCCGCCGCCACAGCCAAGGCCCCACATTTTCCAACCGCGCACAGGCACTGCCCCCTACCCAGATCTCTCACCCGATGTAACCGAACGTTATGCCATGCCCACACAATATATACCCAGGTCACCGGTAGCTTCACGCATTGCCCGCCGGCAAAGGCAGCAACAACAACAGAACCATCAACAACAAAATCATCATCATCACAACAACTCCTCTTCGACGGATCGATCTCATAATATATCGGCGAATTTTTGTGATCAAATTAGGGATACACCACCGGGTTATAGGATACACAAGGGTGTGGCCATCAAAGCAACGAAGGCTAATGAACCGGGGGTTGCGGCCAGGCAATCACCTGGCCCTGCCATTGTCAGGGCCCGAAGTCATGATCGCCTGTCGGATTCTCATAATAATAAAAATTTAGAAAATAACACAAATGAAAAAGTGAGTAATGGTGGCAGTGGAGGGGCTGGAGGTTCATTTAAGAATCGTGACAACGCCCAGGTAGCTGCCCAACAGGGCTCAAACATATCCAAAGAAATGGCACCACATGTCAATCGCCGTAGTGGCCGTCGTGGTGAATTGCCCAAGGCCCGTCCCAGATCCTATTGTAATTCAATGTCAGGTGGTGAGGGTGTCATAAGGGGTAATATTGCCTCCGATCGGAAAATGGGTTATGCTGCCTAAGGCGTTGGAGAGAAGGGGTTGTAGGGAGAGAGATAGAGAGGAAGTTTTTGAGAAGAAGAACGTGGGAATGTTGAAAGAATAGGGGTGTGAGAATTTTAAAGTTGTATCCGTAAATGAAAGAGAGAAAAAGAGGATAAAATTGAGTTCTAATAAGAGAGTAAGTTAATTGGGGTGAGAGAGAGAGAGGGGTAGAAAGAGATTAAAAATAATGTGCCATATTTTGAGATAAATTTGATTTTTTTATTAGAAAACCCTCCAAGGAAAGAACAAAGATTGATCGATAATTAAAAAAATAAGAAATACAAAGGGTTACCCTTCTCTCATCTACTTTTTACCGTTTAAACAATATTAGAAGTTTGAGTTTGAGATATCATTTTCTAACTTATTATTTTTATTACCCCGTTGCTCAAAATCGTTCGTTTAGCAGTGGTTGTAATAGAGTACCCAGCGAACCAAACTGTACGAGTTCGGTTCAATTTCTTTCTGAAAATTGTATGGATTGTATGGTTGATATTTTCTTGGACCAAGGACATTAATGGGAAATTCAGAAGTAACATTGCTTCGAATGTAATGTCGTGAGCATTTCCAACAATCACACATGTAGAAGAGAAAAAATCTCTACAACAAGAGAGAAAATCTCCCAGATAACTGGCATAGAATTCTGATATGAGTCGGCCAGATGGGTCTGACAAAATTTCAGACTTTGAGAAGACATGTCGGACGTCCAACACTTAGTTCGCTGGGCAGATGAAAAAAAGTAACAACAATCATGGACAATTTCTTAATCAATTTTCAAAAAATGCTCTGCAATTCTAGCAATACTTTATATTCTCCACATGACTTAGGTAAACTTTTAAAATTGATAATTTTCATTTTGTTTTCAAAACGTTGACCATGCCGGTTCCTAATCCTCAGATCTTGCACTGAATATTAGATACATCAGGAATTTTAAATCTCAAATAGGCCGTTGTTTTTGAATAACCTCCAAAACTAGATATCCCTCTGCACCCATTTGTATGCCAACGACTCAAATTGACAGTGACTATTTTATTTGGCATCAGGGTGATATTTCTATATTTTGAAGAGAAAAAAACGGACTGGAAGAACTTTTTTAATTCCGCTCAAATAAAATTAATTTCATATATCATGGCATGGCAAAATCTTTGGTTTCTAGGTTTAAAACTATTAGAAATTGCAAATCTACGGTACTGAAGTTGAAACGATTTTGGGTCTTGAGTTATGCCTAACTCCAAACCAGCTTCTCTCAAATACTTCGGCTAAATAATGTTTTACTAATAAAGCTATATTGTAGTTTTCCAATTTCAAAATGCCCTTTTTCCGAAATTGTTCAGTTTCTTTAGCTTGTAGCTGGCTTTTCCAAGACCTAGTCGAAGCTTAAAATATTTTTGTGCTTTAGATTTGTTTTTATTTTCTTTTTTGATTTTTGTACTTATAAATATATTTTGTTATACATTTTGTTATTTGTTTATTCTTGTATTTATTTGTTATTGAAAATATTCTTCAATTATCTACGTGCCATATAAAGATACAAAAAAATAGAGGAAACCCTAACAATTCCTAGAAAAATATTAAGAATACAACTCAAAAACCTACCATGCGCGACATCTAGATTTCATGAATAAAATCGTTTATATCATTGGAAAGTCTTAAGTTGGGCGCCATTCATGGATTTCTAATTTATCATAATACGAAAAAGCTTTTTTTGTAACTTTTTCAGAATATGATATATTAAAGATCCACGTAATGTTTGTATTTAAAAATAAAGGAAACCCGAAAAAAATGGAGGAAACTCTAAAAATCCCTAGAACATTGTGAAGACTCCTATTCAAAAAGCAGTTATGCGCGACATCTAAATTTCAGAGAATAAATTACCATTTTTCATTGGGAAGCCTTAAGTTGGGCGCCATTCATGAATTTTAGTCTGAAAAAGATTTTTTTGTAAGTTTTTCTGACCATGATAGATTAAAGATCTACGTTATGTTTTCTTATGAATGGCTGTCCTTGGTGGGATCCACAGACCTGATCGTGACCCAATTAATATACTGAAAAAAAAAAAATAGAATCTTGCATAGGTCGCCAATTGTGAATTTATACAAATTAGTCGACAATCCATGCGATTCCATTAGATTTTTTTATGAAGATTGATGGATCGTATTATTTGCAGCTATTCAAGGCACCAAAGAACTGTAGCGCCACTTACATTTCACAAAGGCATTTTCAAGCAGTATCTGATGTTCGGTACCAATTATTATTGTTGTGGAGTGCAAATTTCCCATGTTAGGGACTAAAACCCCAAAATCAGATGAAACATATTTATGGAAGCTATAAATTTATCTGAACCGATTTTAACCAAAATTTGGAGCACTTGATTTTAGAATAAATTAATGAGGAATTGCCAAAACTCAGATTATTTGGGCTGAATTAGCCACTTGGTGCACCAAAAACCTGAAATCGGATAAAGATATATATGGAAGCCATATGGAAATCTGAACCGATGTTGACAACATTTAAAACATTTATTCTGAACTGTATCTCATATCTGGTACCAAAGATTATTGTTGTGGAGTACATATTATACATGAGAGGAACCTAAAATCCCAAATCTAATGAAACATATATGTATATGGGAGCTATAGCTATATCTGAACCGATTTGATGTACCTGCTTCTTCACAGAATTCGTTGGGATGTGGCAAAACTCAGGTCTTTTGGACATATATTGTCCATTTGGTGCACAATTAACCGGTTGAGGATATATACGGGAGCTATATCGAAATCTGAACCGATCTTGATAAAATTTTCAACATTTATTTCTGAGCTGTATCTGGTATCTGGTACAAAAGATTATTGTTGTGGAGAGCATATTACGCACAAATCGGATGAAACATATATATGGGAGTTATACCTATATCCGAACCGATTTTCAGCAAATTTGATGTACTTGTTTTGAGGATGAAAAAAGTCGTAATTGCCAAAATTCAGTCCGGCTGATATTAGCCATTTGTGTGCAATAAATCTGATATCGGATAAAGATATATATATATAGCGGCTATATCCTAATCTGGCTCTATCTCGATAAAATTTTACAGAGGTATTTTTGAGCTACATAAGTTATTTGGGACCAAATTTCATTCTTGTAGGGTGCATGTTACGGATGTGATTAACTTAAAACCCCAAATCGGATGAAACATATGTATGGGGGCTAAAGCTATATCTGAAGCGATTTTCAAAATTTGAAGTACTTGTTTCTGGGATGAATTAACTCGGTATTGCCAAAATTCAGGTCATTTGGACTAATATTGGCCATTTGGTGCAATATACCTTATATCGGATAAAGATATACATGGGAGCCATATCCTAATCTGATCCGATCTCGATAAAATGTGACAGAGGTATTTTTGAGGTCCATAAGCTATCTGTACAAATATCATTCTTGTGGAGGGCATATTATGCATGTAAGGGATTTAAAACCCCAAAATCGGATGAAACATATATATGTTAGCTAAAGCTATATCTGAACCGATTTTCACCAAATTTGATGTACTTGCTTCTAGACTAAATTCGGTCGAATGTGCCAAAATTCAGGTCTTTTGGACTGATATTTGCCATTTGGTGCACAATTAATCCGAAGTCGGTTCGAGATATATGTGGGAGTTATATCTACATAATTTCAATAGGGTTAGTCCTTGGGACAGACAAGTATTGATTGGAAAATTTCATCTCAATCGTATAAAAAATGCAGCCTGCATTTTGTTCACAAAACTACATGAACGGACAGACTGACATACATAAATCGACTCAGAAAGTGAAGATCCTCAAAAGTAACTATGGATCTATCTCGCTTCCTTCTCCATGTTACAAACAAATGCACAAAGACCTAATAGGGTATGATATGTGGTGTAGGCTATTAACGGGACCTCGTCGTTGTCAGTCTGTAGATAGTTCGGTTACTTTTTAAGGGACTAATAAGTAAAAAAGTTGTAAGTTCTGCCGGGCCGAACTTTGAATGCCCTCCACCATTTAAAACGAATTTGGCAATTTTCGAAAAAAAAAAAATCAGTTAAAAATTCCGTTAAAATCTTAAAAATACCGAATGTAGCCGTTATACTATGGTCTATACGACGACGTGGACCTGCATATGCAAGTTTTGTCATAAGCCATTACAATATTTAAATACGAACTTGAAAAAAATTGGTGAATAATGTAGCTAAAATCATCACAATACCAAATATCAGAAAGTGCCGTTATATGGGGGCTATAGGAAGATGTGGACCTGCACAGACAATTTTCTGTCTTAGGCTGTGGTATCCATTGCGAACTTCAAATACCAAATTTGAAACATTTCCGGTGATTAATGTAGCTAAAATCATCAGAATACCGAATATCGGGGCGTACCGTTATTTGAAGACGTGGACCTGCACAGACAATTTTCTGCCTTAGGCTGTAGTATTCTTCAAATACCAAATACCAAATTTGAAACAATTTCGGTTAATAATGCCGCATAAATCACCGAAATACCGAAAATAGGGAGGTACAATTGTATGGGGGCTATACGAAGGCGTGGACCTACATGGTCCATTTTCAATACCAAAAGTCCTGCAGACATAATATACATTTGAGTAAAATTTTATTAACCTATTTAATTTAGTTCTGAGGCTAGAGTGATTTCCACAGACGGGTAGACGGACGGACATCGCTAAATCGACATAGAATTTTATGCTGATCAGGAATGTATATATATACTTTGTGGGGTCTAAAGTGTATATTTCGAGGTTTTACAAATGCAATGACAAACTTAGTATACCCTTCATACTATGGTGGAGAGTATAAACAATGATTTATAACTAGTTCTGCAGTTCCTAGTTCTGCAGTTCCTTTAGTGAATCGTTCAATTGGGAAACGGAACAACCCCTAGTTCTAATTGTTAGGGTTATTGGGTATTCGCTCCCCGAATTTATGGATACAACTTTATATTTATTTAAAGTTATAAAAAAATTATAAACAAACATTTGTTTTAGCCCTGCCCAAGGATGGAGTTGTTGATGATGATGACGATGATGATATAAAAATAAATAAAAAAAATTAAAATTTAATAACTTTAAATCCAAAAAATAACAGCTTTTGTAAATACAATTAAAAAAAAGAACTATAGAAAAGAAACCCAAAAACTCCCTTCATCAGCCATCATAATTGTTATGTCATTTGTTTAAATAATCGAATCATCATTGAAGCACTTTCTCAATGTATGTTCTATGCTAAAACCAACAACTTATACAAAGCAACAACAAATGTTAACTGAAAATCTATATCTGTATTACTCCAAACTCCAAAAAAAAAAAAAAAAACATATTTTAGCCTCATAGACTGCGATTGCTGACACATATTGAAAGGAAAAAAGAAAGAAAACTTTAAACTAAGGTTTCAAGAAAATCCAAAAAAAGAAAAGAAAGCCAAACAACTCCTTGTATCAACGATCTCTAGACTAAGATGGGGAGATCCAACAGCCGTCCCTCAAATACCCTCCCTAAATACTAGTAGAAACTTGTGTAAAGATGATGTCTGTCCTTAGTGTGATCTGTGAGAGTCCGTGTCTGTCAGTTGTGGAACGGAACGACGGTGTACTGAGCCCCCCTTCCCCAACCCCCTCAGTTTTAGTTTACCTGCCACAGTGCTATTGGGTGTGAGTACGTGTGTGACTAGTACTACCCGGATCTGATCCAGGGGATAATTATGTTTATATAGAATTTACTTGATGATGGCAATGACTTGTCTCTCTTCAAAACATACCCCCCTCCCCCCACAGTTGTGAAACTCTCTTTCCAAGAAAGCTGAGCGGAAAAACACTCCCATATTCTTTTTTTTATCAAATGTATGTTTAGGAAAAAAAACATCCCAATGACATTCAAACTGTGTGTATAAAGAAGCTTTGTTGTATATTTTTTATTTTTAAGTTTCCCATAAATGTTATTTATTTTATTTTTTGTGTTAATTTTTTATATATATTCCTATACTCTATTTTTATTTCACCAGAAAAATCAAACTACCAAAACCAGTTCTCTATGTTGTTTGTGTACACTAAAAGAAATAAAACGAAAATTTAAGAGTGTGTTGATGTTTGTTTAGCCTTTAAAAATGTTTGTATATATAAATTTTTTTATATATTTGCCCTCTCTATATATATACACAATAACAAGTAATATTAATGGAAAAAAAAAACTATGTGTTCGTTGTTTAGAAGTGAAACAAACAGAATTTTTGTCCAGTTGTAATTTAAACGAAATATGTTAATGTATATATTTTTTGTAATTTTTTTTTAATAAGCCTATTTCTTTGAGTATTATCCTTAAATGGAAATAACTACAAATGAAAATGTGCAAATTTGAAATATATTTTTTTAAGAACAAAAATTAAAAAAAATAAAGCCTTGAAAGAAAAATGGAAAGTATTCCCCCATGAAATCAGCCAGGAGACTTGATGACAGAAATAACTTTGTGGATAAGTAATAAATGGTCTTTAAAGCTGGAATTGGAATCTTTTAAAATTTTAAGAAACTGTTATATAGAAAAAATCTGAAAAAATATGTATAATTGAAAACTAGAAAAAAGGCCCCCCACATTCCTGGGAGAATACTTGACAGAAATGACTTTGTGGGTTTGGAAAAATATAGCACTCCGGTTTTGAGTAAGACTCAACCAAAAATTCCAAAGGAAACCTTGATGATCCTAAAAGAATCGAATTAAAAAAAAAAAACAGAAGAAGAAGAAATAAAGTTTTAAAATGTCATGTGACTTCGATCTGCAATGAAAACTGTTAAAATGGAAAAATAACTTGTTCTACTAAAAATCCAATTATTAAAATCAGGCTGGAGATATAGGGACCGAAACAGCTTTGTGAATTATAAAAAAATGGTCCTTCGAGCTGGATTAAATATAAGTAAAATGTATTAAAAACAAACAGTGAACTTTCCCCTTCAATATTTAAGCATAATTGGAGAATTGAAATTTAATTGAGAATAGAAAAAAAAAAAAAAAATACAGAAAGAAAAGAATTTTGTGAAATTGAAAAAATGGTTCTTCGAGCCAATTCAAAGTATACCTAAAAAGCCTGAACTATTAAAAAAAAAACCTAGTTCTTTTAAGAAATTCAAATATTGAAGTTAGACATGTGATAGAAACCGCTTTTGTGGATTGGAGATAAATGGTACTTCGAGCTAGATTATATATCAATTAATTTTAGAAGTAACAAGTAAAAAGCTGTAAGTTCGGCCGGGCCGATGCTAGAATACCCTACACCATTTGAAGGAATTAGGCATATTTCAAAAAAATAAAATCCGTTAAAAATTCTGTTACAATATTAAAAATATCTATTGCCATTATATTGGGGTCTATACGAAGGGGTCTTGTCATAAGCCATTACAATATTCAAATACGAAACTTGAAAAAATCTGTTAAATAAAGTAGCTAAAGTCATCAAAATATCGAATATATGGATATACCGTTATGTAGGTTCCATACGAAGGCCTGGACCTGCATAGACAATTTCCCGTTAGAGGCTGTAGTAGCTATTAGGAACTTTAAATACGAAATCTTAAACTATTTCGGGGAATATTGTACCCAAAATCGTCAAAATATCGAATATAAGGAGGTACTGATATATGGGGAAGACTTGGACCAGCATAGACAATTTTCTATCATAGACTGTAGTTCCCATTACGAACTCTAAATACGAAATTTGAAACAGCTCCAGTCAATAATGTGGCTAAAATCATCAAAGACGTGGACTTGCATAGGCAGCTTTTGTCATAAGCCATTATAATATTTAAATACAAATCTTGAAAAAATCCGTTAAATAATGTAGCTAAAATCATTAAAATACCGAATATCGGGTGGTACCGTCATATGGGAGCTATGCAAAAACTTGGACCTATACATACAATGTTTCACTACCAATTTTTAGACAAATCCGTGGGAAAATGTGGTAAAAATCATCAAAATACCGAATGTCGGGAGATACCCTTATATGTGGCTATACAAAAACGTGGACCTATATATAATATGTTCCGCCACAGGAGCTAGAATCCAATATGAACTACAAATACCAATTTGTAGACATACCCCCTGATATTCGGTATTTTGGTGATTGTTGCCTAGTTTTTCAATGGAATTGTCTGAAATTCTACAAAAATAGTTCTTTGTGAGTACTTTACCCCCTGGCAGAGAATTGGTATATAGGTATAGGATATCGTATAGCCCACATATAAAGATACTTCCCGATACTCTGTATTTTGATGATTTTAACCACATTTTCTAATGGAATTGTCTCCTTCTGAGTATTTTAAGCCCTGGTGAGAGTGGTCCATATCGTATATCCGCTATACGACGGTAGCCCCCGATATTCGTTAATTTGAGGATTTTAGCGAAATTGTTTACAGGTATTGCTTAAATTTCGTATTTAAAGGTCGTATTGGGTAATACAGCCTATGACAAAAATTGTATATGTATACCGAACCCCGTCTTCGTATTGCCCCATACAACGCTTTTCCTTTGAGCGGTATTTTTGGAAAGTTTTTAAGTTCCTTCAAAATGCCGGAGGGTATAAAAAGTTCCGCCCGGCTGAACTTTGCTGCGTTTTTACTTGTTTTTTTTTTTATTTCCTATTGGTTCAAACATAACTTCAATTAATTTTTATGTTATCGTACGTGCCTCCCGATATTCGGTATTTTCATGATTTTAGCGACGTTATTCAATTGAACTATTTCAAATTTCGTATTTAAAGTTCGTAAGGGGTACTACAGCCTATGACAAACAATTTCGTATGTAGGTTCACGTTTTCGTATATCCCCTATATAACGGGTTTCATTTAAGTGGTAAATTTCTGTAAATATTTTTGTGTGAAAGTTTTCAAGTTCCTTTTAAATGGTGGATGGTATTAAAAGTTCGGCCCGACCGAACTTAGCTGGTTTTTTAGTTGTTGGTATTAGAAATTGAATAGAATATATCCTTTATTCAAGTTCTGAACAATTGTTACCTACGATACAAAATTGTCTTGCTATTTTTGCCATGGGACGATGAGGATTCATTTTCATTTCTTTCTAAGCTTAAAGGACCAATTTGTTAGTGTTTGGAAAATTAACAATCGAAAATTTTTTCAAAAAATCTAATTTTAATTCTTCGAGTGCTCCATCAAATCTCCAATACTATTTTTGTCATCAAAACAGAAAATCCTTATGAAAAAGAACTCCTTAGCCCAGAGGGGAAAGCTTATGATCTAGAAGATCTACAGAGAGCATAAATATACATACATACACCAAGTGATTTTACATTTATACAAATTTATTAGTTAGGTAGTTATAAAGTAAACCAGTGGTTCTAAAACTTCCCCTCTATTCTTTTTGTCGTCGTCTAAGTGAAGAAAAACAAAAGATACCAACAAATTTAAGCTGCTTACCTTGAAATACAAAAAAACAAAAACCAAACCCTTCAAAGAATTGAAAATTGAAACCTTAAACTAATACACACAAACTATTTTCTAATGCTTAAGATATCGGTGTTTCAAAACGTAATACAAAAAAAAAAAAAATAATAATAATAAAATTAAAAACAACAAAGTGGAATTTAATGCAAAAAAATAAAATAAATTTTTAGTAAATTAAGAAAATATATTGAAATCGAGTAAACAAATTTGAAAAAATTGCTAGAACAGTGCACAAAATTTGAATTGAAAAAAGTCCTTTAAAAAGACTTCCCTTATTAGAAAGATTTTTATCTATATACTATAGACCTTCTATAAAACCTGTAGGGATTTTTTCATGGATGGGACATTTCCAGGATGGAAGACTGGAAGAGTCTCCTACAGGGTGAGATAAAAAAACTGCAACAAAGTCAAACGCCATACTTTTTACATTTTTTTAAATTTTATTTAATGAAAGCAAAAAATGTCGGAAATAGCATCAAATTTTCGAATATGTTTAGATTTGTTCGAATTGGTCAGCTTTGGTACGAATTATGGCCTTCAAACGGCCGGTGAAACCACACACGCTGCACAAATGTTGCTCTGCGGTACTTTGGCCCATTCCCGGCAGAGCTTGCTTGCTTGAGGTAATCGACACTTTGGTATTTTTTAGTGCCAACCTTGCTTTCCAAAATACTCCAGACACAATAGTCCAACGGATTGGTATCCGGAGATTTTGGTGGCCACTGTGCGCTGGAAATGAAGCGAGAAACCTCATTTTGTAACCATTCTTGAGTGGCGCGTGCTGAGTCCTGTTGGAATGTCCAAGGTCTGCGGCCAAAATGAGTGCCCAAGGCTTTAATACACCCTCCAGAATATTTTTTCGATAATATTCGGTATTTATTCTGATGCCACGGTCAATTAATACAAGCAGAGAGCGACCATCCGCTGTTATGGCGGCCCAAACCATCACCATGGCTGGCGCTTGAGTTCTGGATTTTGGTGGCCATTGTGAAATGAGCGAGGAACATTACTTTGTAACCATTCTTGGGTGGCGCATGCTAAGTCCTGTTGGAATATCCAAGGTCTGCGGCCAAAATGCGTGCCCAAGGCTTTAATACACCCTCCAGAATATTTTTGCCATATTTATTCTGATGCCACAGTCAATTAATACAAGCAGAGAGCGACCATCCGCTGTTATGGCGGCCATCACAATGGCCGGCGCTTGAGTTCTGGTGGCCAACCGAAGCACATTTTCCGTTTACATTTTCCGCTGACCTCTTTGGCAAGTAAACACGATAATTTTGTTTGTTTACAAACGACTGGACAACGTATGTTTTCTCATCGAAGAAACCCGAACTCGGCAGTTCTCCGCTTTCGGCCAAGCGAAACAACTCTTTAGCTCTTTTGAGTCTATTTTCTTTCTGTCGCGGTGTAAGTTCTTGCACTTTTTTGGAATTTCAATGGCTTTACACCGAGGTCTTTTTTCAATATTTGCCGAATGGAAAATTGCGATACGTTCAGCTCACGAGCCATTTTTCGGCCACTGCGAAGCGGGTTCGGATCAAGTCGCTTCTTTATTTTTCGAACAATTTCTGCTGATGTTGCTGTTTTCTTCCATCCACTTCCTTGACGTCGGGCTACGCTACGGTGAAGAGCGATGTTACGAGACACAAAATATTTATTCACATTTAAATGCTGGAGTGCTCTAACGATAGCCACTTGTGGTTTTCCAGCCAAACATAAAGAAATCACACTATCCCGCTTGAATTTCATAACGAATAAATTTTTTCTAGAAAATTCTCACCAAAATGCTTTTGAACGCTTGTAAACAATATAATGAGCTGTCACTGGAATAATTTTAACAGTTTTTTCGTCGTTGGTTGGTTGCCGTTTTTTCGTCTCACCCTGTATAGATTTTCTATAAAGACCTGCATGGATTTTTTCATAAATTGGACATTTCCCGAGCGTTCTTTGTATAGAAGGCTTGAAGAGTCTCCTATAGATAGAATATTTTTAGGAAGTGAATTTAGCAAAGATGGGATCGTTCGAAATTTTTTGATCGATAAAAAATTTTGTGCATTTTCAAAACATTGCAAAAATTAAATAAAAATTCAATTTCGATAACGAAATCAATTTAGTCATGAAAATTTACAACAATTTTTCTTTTTTACAAGGAAATCGAAAAACAAAACACACAAAATAAAATTTATAAAAAAAAACTAAAAATACAAATTTATTTTATTATTTTCAACTGTGATATTAAATGAAATGATAAAAATCAAAATATGTTTAAAAACAAAACAAAAACTATATAAAAACAACAATAAAAAAAAATCAATAACAATAATATAAAAAATATACCAAAATTTAAAAACAAAAAGCAAAAATTCCCCTCTCTAATTTAAGTGTAGGAATTGAATTCTTTGAAAGCAAAAAAATAAAAATCATAGAAAAACGATGCCGAAAGGAAACAACACAGCATATTAGGGTAGAACGTAAAGCTTTTTTGACACAAAACAAAAACAAAAAAATGGAAATGCCTTCAAGTTTGTAAAACATATGTTCTATAATTGAAATTAATTATATACAAAAAAAAAAGAAAATAATAATAATAAAATTATTTACAAAATCATACTAAACTTGATAAAACAAAAATCAAAAATAATTGTTGAAAACTAAGAAAAAAAATATATTTAAAAAAAGAATACAACGCCACTATTGTTGACATTGATGCATACATACATATATATAGTATATAGTTACATATATCTACATTTAAATATTACAATAACTAAATTTATATAGTTTTATTTTCTGTTAGACTAGAAACAAAGTATATAAAATCTATATATAATAAAAACAAAAATTAATACATATACATTTACTTGTAATTATTTAGTTTTTATAACAACAACAAACAAACAAACAAATTAATAAAGCTTTGTATTTAATTTTTAAATATCAAACAACAAACAACTAATTTTTTACCGAAAAAATGATAAAAAACTAAATGTTTTTTTAATAACTACCACAGAGAAATTGTAGATGAAACTGGGAATTTGATTGGTTATAGCATGGAATTGGATTGGATGAAATTATTTGAATTCAAGGGAAAATATCTTGTTTAAAAATTTGTTTTTGTTTTTTTTTGACAAAAATAATGTAAAAAATCTGTTGAGGACAGATAAGAAAATTAAATCGTGTGAAGTGTTCTAATGCCAAAAATATTGGCATACCATAATGTGAGGTTATGGCAAGAGGTTGTTTTAGTAATTTAATCAAAATTTATATGTTCGACCCAAGTCTGACTTGTACGCAAAAGATAATAACTTTCAACTTTGACAAGAATTTGCCGTAAATAACGTTGCTATACTAATACTACGATATTTATTGTAAACTCTTTGAAAAAAAAAACTTGAGATTGGGCCAAGTACTATAACTAACGCCATCTATGCTTCAGTTTTTATATTAATCTCTCTTATAAAGACCATGTGTCTGGGAGATCTTGGCATTATACAAGGTGGCGCAAAAATAGACGTTCGATGTTTTTTGGCTGTAATTTAAAAACAAATATTTCAAATACGAGACTTGAAAAAAAACTCCGGTGAATAATGTAGCTAAAATCACAAAATACCGAATATAGGAAGGTACCATTATATCGGGGCTATACGAAAATCAGGACCTGGTCAGGGGATACCGTTGTATGTGGGCTATACGATATCGTGGACCTATATAGGACATGTCTCTTCCATGGGGTTAAGTGCTAAGAAAGAACTTTTAGTATGGATTTTTAGACAAATACCGGAATTTCAGCTTCCTATTTTTATTCGTGTTGACTCTAGCGTGATTACAACAGACGAACGGTTAGGGCTAAATCGTCTTAGAATTTTACTCTGATCAAGGAAATACATACTTTGTTATGTCTAAAATTATTATTTCAATAAGTTACAAACGGACTAACGAACTTAAATTAAGTTGAGAATACGATGTCATGTAAAATTTCCGGCAATAGGTCCTCACATTCTTGACGGATATTGTCTTGACATAAACCCGCGACTTTAGAAAGCCCCACAAAAAGAAAAGAAGTCTGGAGTGGTCAAATCAGGCGATCTTGCTGGCCAGTGCAAATCGCCAAAACTGGAGATTAGGCGGCCGGCAAATGCATTCTGCAGCATATCGATTGTGGCACGTGCAGATTGTGCAGTGCCGTTTTACCATCCCGTTGGAATCAAATCTTTTCCACTCCCAACTCATCAAGTTGCGGCAAAAAGTAGTCGTCGATCATTACATTGTAGCGCTCACCGTTTGACCCGCGACGTCTTCGAAGGGAAAAGGTCCGATGACTCCTCCAGCGAAAACAGTATACCATACAGTGACTGAGCTGGTGTAATGGCTCTTCGTGGGTTACACGCGGATTCTCAGTGCCCCAGAAGCGAAAATTTTTCTTATTTACGTACCTGCTAAGGTGGAAATGGACCTCATCACTCATGATAATTTTTGATGAAAAATCGGTAAAATCTTCAAATTTGTAAAAAAGCTGTAAAGACCATCGACTGATACCCATTTGCGTGGCACGTCGTCTGGTCAATGTAGACGGCGCTTTCATGACATCCTCGGCTACACCATCTACACTTCAATAAGCAATTACAAGATCACATGTTTTGAAGTTAATAGTATCAGATTGTTTTTCCTTCTGGTATTTTAAAACGCAGAGGGAATAGAAGAAGGAATATATCTACGGGTCCAAGAATTTGTTCAAAATCGTTAAAACGATTTTAGAAATTACAATAAATTATGTAGCAAACGGCATCTATATTTCGATTTATGCATTCAGGGCTATAATATAAAAATAGCGCAACGAGCTGTTTAGAATTCTCATAAAAGATTGAGTGAAAAAAAAATTACGCTAACCGCAGGCATCTTTTATATGGACTTTATATCATATCCATGTAAAAGATGCCTGAGATGACATAAAATGTTTTACCCAACCCCTTCATGTTAGTGGAATATACAAACCAAATCAGAGATGGGAACCAGTTTTCAATATAATTTTATTTTTCAACCTAAATTTCAGAAAATGCAGTTCTGAATTTTGATATTTGAAAATCATTGCACAACATCTTGAACTATTTAGCTGAGAATCCATATGCTGGATGCAAAGGTTGTGTTAGTAGAAATAAAGGGAAGTGTGAAATGTGAAGAGAACCGGATGCTTACTTCTGATTTTATGACTTTGGTTATTCAATTTCCAAACTCGATCTAAGTTTGAAAATAATATTACGAGTTTGGACCAAATCGTATACACCTTTCGAGAGTTATCGTGTGCACCAATCATCGAGAGAGTCAGCCGGATGGACAGGCATAGCTAGATCGACCCCAAATGTCGTAAAACTGTCCAGAGTGATCTAGGGTCTAAAATCGTTATTTCGATGACGCACATTTTGGCCATATCAAATGATGAATACCCTCTGTAGCCATATGACTAAAGGTATAAAATTACTACGGTCAGGTGTTTGGCATATATTTTTTACACTCTTCCTTAATTCTGCAATCTCTTGTGGTGCAAATATCATTTTGGAATCCACAAAAAAAGTTTCTTGGAAGTCGTGGTCAGCGCCAACATGCAATTGAAAAAAATCTTTGAGCTAGAAATAGATGTTATAACCAGCGCCATCTATACTTAAGTTTAAATACAAGTCTTTAAAATTATTAAATACCAGTCTGAAATTTGAAGAAAATGTCCAGAATGATAATGCAGGATGACTGTAATGTTTCCACAAAGATGTTTGGATCAAATTACTTTAATGATTAAATTGACTTTATATATAATCCATTTATCCATTAAACGCCAAATAGTATGCTCATCTACCCGCATATGTCAGATAAATATTTATTGTGCTACCATTATCAATATGCGGCGCTCGTTGTAATGTAGATGGCACTCGTTATGGAAAAAAGATTGGTGGTCATTGTGATATAGATGGTGCTCTTTGCAGTGATTTTATGCAAATTGCAAAGCATTTAGCTGACTAGCACTAAAATACAATTTTTAAAAAGAGAACTTCAAAGAATGATTGTCAAAATTTTTTTGTCATTAAAATCCAGTTATAAGAAAAATCAGATAAAAAAGATAATTGTCTTATATATTATAGTCTTATTTTACGACCAATATCAATAGATGGCGCCCAATGTAATATGCACAACTCAAACTATTCTAGAATGAATTTCTTTTGATATTTCTTTCTCAAAATTGAATTGAAAACATATTGGTCGTTGGTGTTTACCTAGTGTCCGAGCCTGTTTCAGTCACATTTATAATAAAGTAAAATGTTTTCCATACGGAAATAATTTTTGAAAATAGCATTTATAAACACACCCCAATGGCCATAACCTCACTCTCCGACCTTGGCTTCTCATAATTTTTGTCATTGGTGCAATTTGGAAAAATTGTTGTTGAATGGATTTTGTTTTATTAAGGTAAACTGGAAAACTATTCAAGTATTGCAAATATTTAAGAGAAAATTGTGCTATTGAAAGAAAAAAAATTCGTTTAAACGAAGTATCCCTCTCTGTTCAGAGGATATGGAATGTTAGCGATTTATGAAAAACAAAAAGTCCATAATTATACAAAAAAAACCTTAAAGAGAATTTGAAAATCAACTTTAAAACATCTATGTGTATTTTTTGTAAGACAATTATTAACATATAACAATAATAACGAAAATTAAAAATAAAGTAATAAAATTTGTAAAAATGCAAAAAAAAAAAAAAAAAAAAAAACATAATATTGCGAACAAAATAAAGTGAAAAAATTTAATGAAAATGATGAAAAAAGAAAGAAATAATAAAAATAAATTAAAATGGCATTTTTTAATAGGATCTCAACACATATTAAAGGGAAAATAGGTAACATATGGCCATTTGGCGGCGACCTATCAAATCTTAGAGTTAAATGATCTTCAAACTTCAAAGGCATACCAAAATAACTCCAAACTGCAATAGATCGAATAAAAGCCCAACCAATTCTGGATAAGTCTTAGAAAAGGGAATGACTTCAACAATTTTCGATTTTTTTTTAAATAATTAGCCCAAAAAGAAATTAAAAGCCATTCCATCGGAACTTCGATATTTCACATATGGATTCAAATCACCTGTTTGTGAATAACATATTTTTTGTTTTCCTTTTTTGTTATTAATTTTTTTTTGTTTATTTCATTTTGTAGCTTGGCATTTTTCCTTCTTTCTTGTATTTTGTAACTAATCTTTTAGAATGTAGTTAAATCAGCAAACGATAAAATCTCCACGCAATTTCACTTCCTACGCTCTACTCTACAATTCTATTAACCCTCTGCGAAACTAAAGGTAATGAAATACTAACAGTCAAACATGGTTATGACGTTGTCAATGGTTTTCGTACTGTAAAGGATCTACAAAGGAACTTCGAAATTTCCGTTGTAACCATGTTTGATATTATTTTAGAAAAGGTAAAAGGTAGTATCTGTAGGAACTTTGGAAACTGTTAATATATTTTTCTATTTTTTTTAATCAGCATGGCTTATCCTCGTTTATGCTCATAGATGACCTAAAAAAAATCATTCCGACT